GACTTTCACACTGACCACAGCATTTATAGTCCGAGTTATTGTACATCCTGCTGGTGTGAAATCAATTAGCCAGTCCTCTCAAATAAAATGCATTTCCTTCTTGTTTTATGTTATAAAATCAGGATGTAGTTTTAGTTTCACAGAGAAATAAGATAATAGATATTTAGACAATGTCAACAGTTTGTTTTAGCAAAAACAGGCTTCCTTGTTTGATTCAACAGTAAAACGGAAAATTATCAGTTACCTGATATTTAAGTTTATAATTACACTGGATTTGTTTCTGGACATAAACTTTATGTGACTTTGAAGCTTCATTACAACGTTTTTAAAGAGGCTCTTATCCAAGCAGCCACTTTGGAAACACAACAGGATAAAGGACGCTGTGCAGTGGGGTCGGGTTCATTCATGAACAGAGCACAAAGTGGACCCAGAAGATGCAGATGGACGACAAGTTAAAGTTTCTGAAAGCCACAAACGAGGGAATTTACTACAAACCCCCCAAAAAAAAACCCCTGAACCCCCAAGCCGAACAAAAAGCCAAAGACTGACCAGCAGGTAAGTCGACACCTTGACATCCACCTTTGTTGTAGCGTTCGTGTTGCATACCCTCACAGGACCCTCGGCCGCATTACTGTGACAATGACCACGAACATTAGGTGGCACTTGATTGTAATGGAAAACTGGTCAGTCCAGCTCGCCCTGGCGAGTTGATCCAAGTAGGTAGTGATGGAAAAGAGGCTATACAAACTTGATGGAACAAACAGGGAAAACAGACGATGATGGAGACTCTGGGAGACAGACATGGGGACGTGACCGGGGAGAGAGAAAGGGTAACGACACAGAAACAGGAGTGACTTCCACAGGAGACGCTGGTGATTGAATTTATATGCAAACTGGCCACCTGCATATAAATCTACTTCCTGCAGCTGTTTCAGGAGCAGAGTGGATATTCTGTCAGTGTCTATCTGGCACATGATGATTCGGACCATCTACAGCTTTGCGGGTACCATTACCATAAGTGTGTCTGTTTGTATGATGATGGTAAAACATCAACCTGGAAACGCCTACAGACTCGTCTCTTTGTCATGCTCCGATAGCTCACAGTCGCTGAGGCTTTTGTGAGCCGGTGGAAATTATTTTTATTTTCTTGGCCTGAGTTTGACCTCTGAGGCTGAACATACACTTAATAACATACTAAAATTAAAAAGAGATGTCACTTTTGCTTTCACTCCTTAAGGAGGCCTTATTTTGGGTTCAGATAAGCATGTTCACAGTCTTAACCCTTTGCGTTTTAAATGGCACACTGAAGAGTATTGTGTAATTGAAAGTGTGACACAGAGGAGTTTGACGTATGATGGACTGAGTCATAACCTTTGACAATGAAGAGGACTATTGGACCTGTGTGAGGTTTGTAAAGAATTAATGGCACAGTTGGTTTCTGTCTGGTCTGGACCGCAGGTGTTTATTCTAAAAACAGACTTTAAAGAGAAATGGACCGAGATTGGACCCCTGAGGAACACCGTACAACCTGTCAAAATCTGGTTTGAGGTCGTTGAGACTTAACTGAAGTGAAATCAGGAATCTTTGTGTTGAATGAAGACAGGTAGGATTAACAGAGCAGGTTTTTGAATAGGTGGAGGAAAAGCTGGAGCTCTTAGAGAATTCAGGACCCTCTTAATGTTAATGCTTAATACTAAAAACAGGGTATAGTGCTGATGGCGGTTCATAAAAATAAGAGTATCTCCAGTCTGAAAACAACCTAACACGGTGTGCAGGTTAGACTCGACCTATTTAGCTTTGCATGTTTTACACACACCAGCCTCACGTGACTGACTTTATCTGATTATTGGCTGCAGCTCATTTAATTAGATGGGTCAGAGTTGAAACTAGAGGCAGGTTTTTCCAGGAAAGCACAGCACATAAAAGAAGTCATTGACAGAGATGAAAAGCAGCGAAGTTAAAGGTCCACAACATACAGAAGTTTGTGCATTGCGTATAAATGTGGCGTATAGGAGAAAACCTAACCTCAAGCACGACCTCAGAGTTACTCAAGCTGCTCTCAATCGTTATCTGAACTTCACAGTGCGTTATTACTGCACTTTTATTTCTATAAATACTTTTCTGACAAATAAGACGTTGGACTAGATTGTCGAGGATGTGAAAGCTCTCAAACGGGCTTTTCCACAAACTGAGGAATGAAAACAAACACTCACACTGTACTCCTGATCCACAGTCCTGGAATCGACTGTCTTCAGTCGGGACAGCAGCGAGCGCAGCAGCTCCATGTCGAGTCAAGTAACATCCAACACCTGAGCCGAGCTCGTGCGCCTCACTGACTCTACTCTCCTGGCTGCAGGCTGATCAGCCAAAACTGAAATTAAAATAAGCCTCTCTCTCTCTCTCTACCTCTTAGTTCTCTCTTTCCCTCTCTGTCTCAGTTCTGCCTCTGTCTGTCAGTTAATAATTTAACACCAGCTAATTGAGCCTCTCTCTCTTGCTCTCTCTCCCTCCCTGTCTGAACTGAAGAACAAGGAAGTATGTGGACAGTGGAAAGAAATACAAAAACTTTACGACTGGTTACTTCACTGAATTTTAAAGCGTCGGTGTGTTACAGAAATATATTTCCTTCCTGAAGCACACAGCTAGTGACTAATCTGGCACAGGCTGCATACCCACGTCTGCAATCAGGCAACCTGTTTCACCTGTGTGTTCACCGGACAGCGTGCAGAGATAGATCATCTTGATAGAGAAGTGTTGACAGACGTGGAATTTAAAACCGCCGCCTTGTCTGAAGCTGAAAGATAAAGGCACGTGTTTAAAAACGCTGAACTGTGATGGACACGTGATTAATTCTACTTTTTGCCGAGCAGGGGTGGAAAGGTTACTAGATAGAGATCTTAACTTATGTAGTTCAAAAGTTGAATAACCACTCTCACGTAAATTGGAGGCAATCTTGTGTAGCTCTTTTCTGTTCTACCTGAACACACCTCACTCACACCCACTCATATAAGCATTTTTCTTTCCCTGTCCTTAAGTGCTTTCTATCTAACAAAGATATTTGGCATGCCAGGGCTCAAACCACCAACATTATGGCCTGCGCTACCTCCTGAGCTACAGCCACTAAAAACACTAGAGGCAAAAACCACCAAATACACTCCAAGAAACAGGTTTGACTCCCTTTTACCTTCTTCAGTGAGTGCTGGAAACACTCCTCATCAATTTTGGTCCATATTAACATAATATGAAAACATTAAGAGCCACATACACAACTAATTCCCATTACCCTGGATGTGATATTTTCTTTATTCATTTATTAATTCAGTAATGAAAACCACCCTGGCTCACCATTGCACATCTATTACAGCTGTCCAGAACCTAAAATGACACCTTAACAATGCTTGTTTTGCTCAGTATTCAAACAACAGCCTTAAAGAAACCCAGAGTTAATCTATAATGAAGAACCTCAGAAAGAAAAGGACAGCACATCCTCACGTGTGAGAAGCTGGAAGCGACAGGTTTTTAAATTTATTTACTGGAATTATTTTGTAAAAGCATCACTCATCATTTGGCCTTTGAATGTTAAACAAAAGTACGTAATCTAAAACAAAAGTACGTATTTCGTTATCTCTCATGACATTTATATGGAAATATAACTGACCTCTTAATATTCGCAGGTCTTGAGTAAATGTGATTTGAGTGATCGAGGTTTCTCTTAGGTTCTCGGAAACAGCATCAGAGTGAGCGCTCTGTCATGGCGGCTACTCTTTGTCAGCTGCTCGGTTCTCGGAAACTGCGTCAGAGTGAAACCTCCATCCTGTCTCTTCCTCTGTGTCAGCTGCTGCGTCTCCTCCTCCGCTAGCTTAGCCTGCTAGCTCGCAGCAGCAGGGAAGGTAAACATGGCTATGTCGCAGGCTCTGTCCGAGGAGGAGTTCCATCGGATGCAGGTGAGAAAAACTACGGCGATTGTTCTTTTGGTGTGTAGGTGTCAGTGTGGTGAAAAACACCTGTGCGGTGCAGCATCACTACCAGGGGCGTTTGCCCAGTCTGCTAATCGTGAGCCGTTGCTAGGTGGGAGCGGTTAGAACGGCTAGCTCGGCTGACATTATTCATTTAACGTTGGCAGGAAGGTAACGGGCAGCCGGAGCTTTGACATGCCTCCGGGCGATATACTTAAGAAGGGGAGGAAGCAGACACAATGAGAGAGCTCAGTTCAACACTTAGCCTAGCTTACACCCCCCCTGTAAAGAAAAGCACAGCGTAGCATTTTTGGTGCTAACCGTTATTTCTATCTGACAGCGGGCTAACGTGTTAGCATTCACGGGACTCTCGCCCTGCTGAGAGTCACGGGGTCCTAGGCAAGCTGCCGTCGGCTCCTCTGCATCGGAGACAGGGCCGGGAAGCGCAAACACCTGTTAACATACTAACCACTGACCTCCCCGACTACTTTAATAGGACTGTATACTCATAGAGTTGTTCTCTGTTGTTGCACGAAGTGTAAGAACAGGAATATTGACTGTCTTCAAACATGGTAAACAGCAGTAGGGAAGAGTTCAAATATATTTACCACAAAAAAAACGTTAATACAGCTGTCATACTGTAGTAAACGCATTATGTTTTTTTATTTCTTTAAATGCAGCTGTAAGGCCCCTCTGGGGCAGTAAGGTGGGTCCCCTCAGAACGTCATGCTGTTTATGAAATATTTAGGAAGAAAGATCTTTCTAAAAGATGGAGGTAGCCACTGGTGTCATCAACTGTCATTGTTGTGTTTTTTGGTGTCAGCAGTGAGTGTATTTAGGCAAGTGAATAGAGTGCTCTATAATGAGCATAAACAGCATTTTGGGTGGGTGTAGCTGCCATGATGTCACCCGTTGCTTTGCAAAGTCCTGCTACAAAGCTTCAAGATCAGGGTGTTTAATGTCGCCCTCTTGAAACTGGATATCTGGGATGGATCCAACTATGAATCCACTTGTGTTAAGTGCTTCAGTTGAAGGCAGCTGGACTTCTTGTTTCATGAAGACATTTCATCTCTCATCTCAGGGGCATCTTCAGCTCTAAAACCTGATAGGGAGTCCCAGGTATTTAACTCTTTGGGGAGAGGTGGGACCACCTGTGCATCACCAGCGGTTATTTTGCCTCTTGCTGACATTCAGTGATCTCTGGTCACCACGCTGCTGCTTGTTACAGTAATCAGTTTATTTACATGTTAGATTTGTTTTTAAAAAGATGAATAAGCTCATCTTCAGTTGACCTACTGGCCAATAAAAAACACAACATGTCATAAATTAATACTGGCGTGTGTGTGTGTGCTTGTGCAGGCCCAGCTGTTGGAGCTGCGGACGCAGAACTACCAGCTGTCTGATGATCTCAGGAAGAACACGGCAGGTAAAACCTTTCACTCTTTGTCCTTCTTGTTCCTGCTGTTTCATGTTAACAACACTTGAAATGACCACAATCACACAAGAGGCTCTTTAAAGCAACAGAATGTTTAAGAACATGGATTAGAAGACCCACAGCATAAAACCAGTTTTCCTGCTCCACCTGAGCAGTTTTTGTCCAGGTGAAAGTTTGGCAGCAGACATTATAAGAGACATTAGAGGACAAGTCCAAATGTCACACAGTGCATGAGCGAGAACACAACATTGAGATTATATGAAATATAAAATAAAAGGTCAAGGTCAAAATGACTTCAAACTCATTTTGTTGCAAGTTTCAGAGAAACCACACTGACCAAGAAGCTTTTGTCTCAGGGTTTACAAGTGACTGATGCAAACTGTTAACTGTGGGGCGGTTTACGACCGTTTCAGCTCCGTCTGCATATTATTCCAGGAAAACAGGACCGGATAGATGAATCTTTGTTTGTGTGGAAAGGGCTGGGATTAGCTGGATTTTAAAAAGTCATAAAATAAACATGTGTAGTTGGAAACACTGTAAGGCCAGAGGAGGATTTTGGTGTAGTTAACTTGGAGCCGTCCTGTGTAAAATGAATCCGTGCCTTGAGTAACAGGCCCTCAAGAGTGCACAGATCTGGGTCAAAAACTTCTGGACTTATTTTGCCAGCATTTTTAAGCCCTCATAGGTCCATGAGTACAAGGATATCCACAAATTTCAGAGTTAAAAGACACATTTACATGGCTGGACAAAAACAAAAGACAGCACATGTAGGTAGAAATGTCTTCTTTCTACCTACATGTTGATATCAGGCTCATCTCTAGCCACAATTCCTTCTAGGTCGTAATCATTCTGTAATATAGTCATGGTATGAAGGTAACATTTCCATGGCTTTGTTAAATACACGGAGGGGCTCAGGTGGGAAGCATTTTAAGTGGAATGGCCCAATAATCATAGTGATGGTATTTTTATTTCTGTCCCACTTTTTAAAATGTTCATATTCACACAAAATAAATGGCACACAGATAAGTGTGTACATATCACAGCATAGCCTGCATGAAAGCAAGCAGGGTCCTTCACTAGAATAAAATAACACAACATGAGACGGGCTACGAAAATGCAAACCTACAGGAGGGAATCTGCCCCCAGCCCCCTGACATTCACCGATACAAGCAGGCTTTAAATGCAGTCGATGTACAGACTCCACTTCAACTAACGGACATGAAATCATTCATCGGATAAATATTTAATTGGCCCATGTTAGCAGTAAAACTTTAATGAAGAGGAAACGTGTGTTTTCTATAATTAAATGTCGTCCTGGTGCATTTCAGAGCTGAATGCCGTCCGTCAGAAGAATGTGGTTCTGGAAAGAGATTTTGTCAAAACACAGAAGGTAACGAACACTTTATTACTATGTAGTTGTTTTTGTAGATGAGTGATTGGAAAAAAATAACCTGCTGACCTGAATTTGGGGGTTTATTTTCTAACAAAGCTGAGCGAAGAGTTTTCCTCATCTCTTCATGTTGTTGATTTACATTAAATGTTTTTCTGCTTTTCTTCTTTTCAGGCCTTGAGTAAGAGTAAGAAAGCTCAGGTAAGCTGTTGTTTGATGAGAATTGTTACCTCAGTGAATTTCTAGTGTAAACATTTTTCAATTATGTCATTTTAATTGTTCCTTATTTTGTCATTGTTAATTCTTTATGGCTTCCTTATTATGCTAACACAATCACCAATAATCTGCTAATTGGAGGTTATTTCTGTAACTGAGACAAACCGCAGTGCAAACATCGCGTCTTCTTGTACCGTCACATCCCAGGAGCTGTTTAAGCTCTGCTTCTCTGGTGAAAGCTGTAATGTTTAAAGGTCATTCAGGCAATAGGTGAACAGGAAGTGCATCAGAAAAATAAGAGTTTAGTTTTTAGCCGTGTGTCTGAAGTACGACTGAACTGTGGTTTTAAAGTTTGTGTTTATTCTCACCTGGTGCTGACGTCTTCTCTATTTTTGGCACTGTAGTGTTTTCACTGAAAATGTTAATTCACTCTGACTGCAACATATTCCACGAGGTTTCTGTCACATTGTTCGGCACAGAAACCCAATCACCCGCCACTGTTTGGATGGTTTAGTTGCAAAGAAATGACAGAGATATAACAATATGTCAAAATACTACATCACGAAAGTTTGGTCAGTCTGTCTGTGTGATCTCAGTAGGAGTTTCTGTAACCTGTACCTTAACCTTTCTCTGTGTAGGAGGTGGATGCTTTGCTGAGTGAGAATGAGATGCTTCAGGGGAAACTCCACAGTCAGGAGGAAGATTTCAGACTACAGAACAGCACTCTGATGGCTGAACTCTCCAAGGTGAGTCTGAGTGTTTGTGTGTAGTTCAGACACTGTAGAAGCTTCATATCATTACTGTGATCTTAACATTATAACATCTATTTTTCCAGCTGTGTACACAGATCGAGCAGCTGGAGCAGGAGAATCAGTGCCTGAAGAAGGAAGGAGGAGCAGCCTCTGCATCCAGCCCCCCACCTAACCCTGCATCCATCCCCGTGGATGGAGAACTGCTCCGCCTCCAAGCAGAAAACTCCACCCTACAGAAGAAAATGAAGGGTGAGGTGACATTTAAAAGGTGTAGATCTATCATCTCTGCAGTTTTAGAGGCTCATATTTTAATATTTTTTTCCACATAAAAATCGTCCTGAAGGTGTGTAGAGCCAAAGACAAGTAAAGGAAAAATATCACGATCTGACAGTTTATCTTCAGGTGTCGAGCTGATATTCGCCCACCTGTGTTCTCTCTCTCTTCCTGCACCAGCAGCAGTGTATTTAAAGACTTTGACCCACAGTACGCAGTGTTGGGGGTGGATAGAGCTCCTTTAACTCCCCACTGCGTCGTATTCTGTGCAGTTCAGGAGACAGAGAGGCTACTGTTGTTTTTCGACATATAAGTATTAATTTTCACAGGTTTAGAATTCATCATTTAAAAAAATGTAATCATAAATCTTCCTGACACATCACAATATAAACTCAACTCCTCGTCCACAGAAGGCCTTTATCATAAAACATTTGCTGACATGTGCAAACTTTAGTCATTTTTGTCTGTTGCCCTCAGTTTTAACTGGCCAGTGATTTTTGAGGAAATTAGGTAATTTTGAAAGGAGAAGTGTTGTATGAAACAAACCCCCAAACAGGACTCAGAGAAGGAGGCTAGAAACTAGACTGATGAGACGAGCTTGTATAAATCTGTAAAAAGTTATGAAGCTAACTTGGGCGCAGTGACCGCCGGGCTTGTAGTACAGCTGTGGAAACCTTGTGATTCCTGTTA